CGGTATGATGTTGTTCACGGATTAACTTTAAACTACTAAATCCGGTATGATGTTGTTCACGGATTAACTTTAAACTACTAAATCCGGTATGATGTTGTTCACGGATTAACTTTAAACTACTAAATCCGGTATGATGGATGTTCACGGATTATCCATAAGATATTAAATCCGGTAAGATGTAGCTCACGAATTATCTTTAAGTTAGTAATGCTGGTGTAACGTTGCTCACATGTAGAACAGTGGATTTCACCATTACTCTTATAGCGCGTTCACCAACCCCAAGAGCAGTCCAAGACTTAACGATAGCTACTTTTGACTAACAGCTTATCAGTTTGAAATTCGGAAACAAAAACAAAATCCATTTATACTCACTTCTGTAACAGAAATCCCCCTGTGCTTAAATAAGGGACTACTGTAAAGAGAGTCCAAAGGTACCAGACGGTCCCTACTTGGTGAATGTATACTGTACTCCACTTCCATAGTGTTGTTTATTTGCAAAAATCTTTGGTCCTTTTCATCCATGATGCCTTAATTCAGAAAAAAAAAACATCATATTTGTTAGAAATATTCACTAATTCAGAATAAAACATATAATTCTGATCATCAACTATACGATCCCATAGTTGGAAGTATTCAACTCTTGAAGTTTTCGGCTTGTTTTAATACCTTTCAATACCATATTTAGCAACTTTAAGTGTGTTTAAGTGTATTTACCTGTTACTAACTCACTGCAAAGAACTGACCCCTGTATAAGGTGACTCCCACTTTTTATGTAAAGTCAACGCTGAATTAGCTACAATAGTGATGGTATTTTGTCTCAATAGATAGTTTATATAAATATACCGAGTAAAGACATGGAATTTAACCTCTAGGTCAAAGTTTAGGACATAGGATTTAACCTCTAGGTCAAAGTTCAGGACATGGGATTTAACCTTTAGCACACAAATGTTAAACTAAAAAAAAGTGATTTAGATAGGGTTTACGTAGTCTGCAAAGATGAAAGTACCCGACGATTTTTCTTTTAATTTATTTAAAATACATCTATATCCACCCTGTTGTCAAAAACTTAAACTAACTGATGTTTATAATATGGTCATTAATTTCCACTTCAGGCTTAAAACGTTTATTTCAGAAGAAGAAAAAAGTATTTAGTAAACTTTGGCTTCCATACAAAAGCATAGAACGAGTCTTAACAGTTAATTTTTGAAATAGCTTCTTATAACTAACTTATGATATCACGTCTAAGGGAACAAAGGTAAAAAAAATTAGCTTATTGCTAACTAGCCCTTATCTTAAAATATATATATGAGAATTCTATGGGACTGAAAGCAATCCTTTGTTGCAATACCAGGTGTGCTTATAAAGTAAATTAACGTAACTCGAATTTTTACATTTTACTCTATTGTACAGTACAAACTGTTAGACTTTCAAACCGCGAATTTGTGGTTAAACTTGTTTTCTCTTAATAGTCATTCATCAGTTAGCATTTAGTGGCATGATAACAAATAATAGTAAATCATTTTACCCGTGAATGGGGAACTGGATATATTTTTAGCTGGAATTATATCAGGCCCTCTATCGTCGAGTTCCGAGGAATCGTCCACGTCCATCTTGAGGGGAGTCTCGAATCTACAGACGAAAGTTTTAGTAAATTCACATAATTATGTTACGTATCTGCTCGTTTGTTAATTTCCGGTATAAATTCTTTCCGAGGATTTTCAGCGATACGAGTCCTTTCTTGATTAAACCAGTTTATTATTTCTCGATACGATTTTTGTGATAAACAGAATTTCCACAACCTTTATAACACACGCTATAAATCACAATGATTCACACACACTTTACTTATGGTGCCTACTGTTCGCTTGACTCAATTATCTATCTATATCTCTTCTATCTCGCTGGTTTTTCTCGCCAGGCTTATATAGTAAAAAAGAGGGCGTCCTGAACAAACTTGGTCTTCCCCGATAATTCATGATCCTTCGAGAAACTCCAGCGCGCATGCTCCCAGCGTCGCGTGACTTCCGCTGTCGTAACAATTATATTAACTTATCAATTATAAAAGGAATAACGATTTCTCTAATACATATATATATACTTTTTAAATGCGCATGTTTAAGAGCATTCTATTATATTTGATAAATATTATCTTCCCTTCTATAAATACTCTTAATACCCCCCCCCCCCCACACACACACTGAAAATACACAAACTAAAGTTGATATTGAGTTACTCGTAAGTGATTTTTACATTAATAAAATTTGAAAATAAAAAGTCTGTTGAATAGAAATATGTTCCTTTATTAAATTAATTTTGAAATAAAGAAGCTACCGGGTCTAGTACTAGGATCGGCTAAACGGTAACAAAAAGCAAAAATATTTACTGCCTTATTGTTACGTACAGGAGATAACAGATGGAGCCACTTATTCATATCTTAAGTTATAATACTTGTCCTAAACGAATATTGTATATCTACAATATGTATGGGCTTACAATAATGTTTCTACCAGTAAACTGTTACGTATTATTAGCTGGAAAGTTTTCTTCGTCATTTTACCTTGTTATCTTCACTCTCTATTCTCAGTCTGTTATGGAGTTAAACTTCTGGAGTTAAACGTATAGTCCCAACTGTAGTTTTTTTTTGTCACTTAAAAGAACAGGGGAGTTTATCGATGATTCACCAGGGAGCGGCAGTTCTTATAAATTGACTCGTTTAAAGCGCACCTGGCGGCAGTTCTTATAAATTGACTCGTTTAAAGCGCACCTGGCGGCAGTTCTTATAAATTGACTCGTTTAAAGCGCACCTGGCGGCAGTTCTTATAAATTGACTCGTTTAAAGCACACCTGGCGGCAGTTCTTATAAATTGACTCGTTTAAAGCGCACCTGGCGGTAGTTCTTATAAATTATCTTGTTTAAAGCGCAAAGCTACACAAATGATAATTTACGTTATGCACACTCGCCGGATCGAACCCCAAATTGTAATATTACGAGCATTCACTTTTACCACTGACCTTCAAGGGGCAGTTTTTTTTATAGAAGACTAAGAAATGCTTTTTAAGCATTTTTGTTTAAAACTTAATATCGTCGTACCGAGATATTTAACAAAAGATGAAACGAATTAGTTCATAACTTAACAAAATCTGTCCAGCAGCATTTTCTTAAGCCTCGTTAATTGAGTTTTTCACCAACGTTTGGAAGTTCAACCACACTTGCTGAGATCACCAGCATCCATCCGTTGATGAGGCGCGCTTCTCATCGTGATTGATTTCCAAATAAAAGCAGTAACGTTATCAGAACCGTAATTTCCGTGAAATCTGCATTAATACCATGGAGACATTAGTTAATACTGGGAGAGAACACCTGGCTTGCTCGATGTGCAGATATAACATGTTTGATCTAGTCACGAAGTTCATTATAAAGCACGAGCACTGCGCAGCAGCGGCAGCCATATTGTTAAATGGCATTTAGAGATTCCGTGAGCGCTTTAAACCGAGCGCGTGAGCTCCCTGTATTCGAACCCTAATGAGTTGAGAACATCGAACTTGGATATATCGGTTGCCTGTAAAAACATATCCTGACTATTTACAGCTGGTTCTCCAAAATCGACAAATTTCACGAGGAGCTTCCAGTTGCGAATAAGAAAAAAACCTTCCAGAAACTCCTGGATATAACAAATCGGAACTTCGATGTACGAGAATATTTTTTTACATCGGTATGAACGTCTTTCAATCAAGGACCAGTTCAACATTTGTATATTGATGTAGTTTGTATGATTTTATACTATTACTTTGATTAATGTCAAGGAGTTCGTATGGTTTTATACTCTTTTGAAATACAACAGTTATAGAAGTGATGATAATGGTTATTAATTTACATAACACGAACAGTTTTTTTGGACTGGTCTCGGATTACAATTCAGACGTACGTTTGTTATTTTTCTAATTAAACGGAAGATATTTTAATCTCTAAATGGATATTTCGCGCCAAATTAAAATAGAAGAAGATTGAATTTTTCTGTTCGGAAGTTCAGTCTACTCTGTTTCTGTTATAATAACATTTAACATATTCTGATGTGTTAAAATAGAAAGTTCGTATGTAAATAAAAACACTTTAAGTCAAACAGAGATGAACAAATTAACACTTAAAAAAAAAGTCCTTATCAAGTCCGGACAAAAACAACCAAAACTCACTTTTCTAATCCTGAATTGTTCCTTCCTTCTTCTCCTGTGAAAAAACAACAATAATAATATGTCATCACTTTTG